GCATCACGCCGACTGGGGTTCAGGTGAGGTCCGTTGTCCATTCCAAAAGCGAATGGAGCAAGCCTGTGAGGGTTGCACAGCGTTGTCGCCTCGCTGGCACACAGCAGATTGACAGATGTTGGCGCCACTTGAAGTTTTTTGCCGACGCAGATGAAGACACGTCAGGGTGAAACCCTGAACGGGAAGATCTGGGAGAGAATCTTCCAATGGATCTATCGGCGTAATTCGAAGGAGAAAATGAGTGGATATAACTTTTCGTCGTCCCTCGCCCTCGCATAATTTGCACTTTTGAAACAGTGCTTAAAACGCAGGCGAGGTGCGACTTGCGATCACAAACGCACGGTTGCGAAAACCCGTGTCACCATGTTTATGGCGGTGCGGGGGCCATGCTGCCCACAAATATCCTTTTTCTATCTGGGGTCTATGAAAGCGTAATCTTGATCCCTCACGCCTCTTTTCTGCCCCGGGACTTCTTCCCTTCCTGGATGTATTCTCCTTCTGCCCACTGCCATCCTCTGTATGTTTTTTTCTTTAAGTGCTTCTTTTCTGTTTGCTTGTCTTCCTAGCTTCCCCTTTGTTTTCTTGTCTGTCAGTCTGTCAGTCTGTTTGTTTTGTTTGTTTGTTTTGTTTTGTTTTCTTGTTTTGTTTGTTTGTTTGTTGGTTGGTTGGCTGGCTGGTTGGTTTGGTTTGGGTTTTGGTTTGGTTTGGTTGGGTTGGGTTGGGTTGGGTTGGGTTTGCTTGCTGGCTGGCTGGCTGGCTCGCTCGCTCGTGTGTCTTTCCTCTTCTGTCTCTGTGCTCTCTTGCTTGCCTGTTCTCTCCTGTGTTCCCTGCTGTGTGTGTGAAGCCCTTGGAGTCACAGGGAGCCTGTTTGTTTTTAGGTTTTCGTTTACTTGCAGGGGCGCACATTGCAGTCGATTGCCCGACGAAGATGCTGCAATTGTGACTGATTTCGCGTTTGTAATTACATCCAATCTAATCTTCAGGCTGCTTAGGTGGAGGTAGGTCGGCGTACTCTGCACATTTCGCCGTCCTTGTCGCTCGCCTGGCTTTCGGTGTGGCACTTTGCTGGCTTCAATGCTTCCTGACCTACACTTTGAGACTTTGGTCCTCCCTCTTTTTGTCTGGGCCTCCAGGATGCTCAGCCCCCTTACATGTTTTATTGAGGAAATCTTTTCGCCTAGTACTAGGCAACCGCGTGGTAAACCGCAAGTCGTTTCCGGACGCAACTTTCCGCGTGTGTCTGTATGTTTTCTTCTATGTTGCAAGCCTTTTCTTCTGACCTGTTCTTTTCTTTGTGTTTTGTTTCCTTCACGTGTCTGCTCCACCATTCTGTTCGCTCTTTTTTGTGCGTTTTCCTGTCCGTGTCCCTGCGCGGCCTCAAGAATGTGCGCTTTGCTTTCCCGGACGTCAGGTGGCCATGGGCCTGGGTCTGGGGTTAGTTGGCCTCCGCCACTTGAAGCTCCACTTCCGGGTTGGGTGCCAAGAGAGCAGGTGCTGTCCGAATCGGAGGTCCAGTTTCCTTCTTTCGAGTGGTTGGGTGAGGAAATGTACATATTTTCATATATAATAGATATAGATGTGTATCCATTACATTTGCACCTGGTGATGCCTGGTGCAACTGCTAGAATCATGACTGAAAGCGGCACGTCGTATGACGCGGTCTTATATCGCCCACGCGGGGTGTCCAGGCAAGACTTCCAATCCGAGGCCAGAGCTCGCCTTCCTGCAAAAGAAGGTATGCCGATGAATGGACAAAGAGCTGGGACATGGTTGTAGTATGTTGTAGTTTATGGTGGAAGTTCCAATCTGCATTTTTCTCGTGCTCCTCATTCTTCCGTTTGAATGTAAAAATGAATTGTTTTCACTGCACGCATGTTTCTCAATCCTGCACCTTTCCAGAGTTCGGGCTTGTGCTTGGCTGGTCAGACTTGACGCTTCGCAAATCAAAATATGAAACCGATATGTAGAGCACTGAGATGCTTAGAAGAACTCAGTCCTTATTTATTTGGGTGTTTAAACTGAACGCCGCGTCCTGCCAGGCTATCACCGCATGGTGCGGTGCTGTGTGCCGGGCCTGGAGTGGGATGGTCGGGAAACTACTATTCCATCGCAAACTTCATTATTGCAGACAGTAGATTTTTGAATCCTGTGGCTTTCCAGCTTTTGTGTTGCCTGTTGTGCGGCCATTGGCGAACTTGCGCACTGAGTCGACTTCCACAGATCAGGCCGGCAGACCCTAGGAGCTCTGAGATGGACTTAGTACAAGCAGGAAAGTTGGATCCACAATCCGCACCAATGATACCTGCAGGTGGTGTCAACGCTAATTGCAGACAACCACGAGGCGGTGGTTTTGTATGTCGTGAGCAGGGGCCTGCGATAGACGGCCGTTTCACCTTTGCGTCCGGTCGGAGAGAGTACTTGGTGGATCTCGGCGATGTGGGCTGTGTGGCCATGGCGGCCAGGTCCAGTCACCACCAAACGACCCGCGAACCTACAGGGTGCTGCGGATGGAGAATGGCTTGGAGGCCTTGAGATCCTCATCCTTGAGGGTTTGTCGGGGAATGAAGTTGTACACCTCGGGCACCTTTTGGCACCATCGGTGTTCTTCACACAATTGTTCCATTCCATTTGATGCGCAGCTGCGCAACTCAAGGGTGGGTGCAATCAACCCTTTCATCCTAGCAATCGCTCTGGATGTCTTCAGAGGTTGAGATTCTTTCGGGCGAGTCGGAGCCAAAATGGTGAGCTGCCGGAGGTGCTGTTAGCTTCCGACTCGACCGCTAGTACGTCAGCGGCTGCCCTGACAGCCTACGACTGAGAAGCTTCTGGATGAAACACTCATTGTACGCAGCGGATGTGCCATGAGAAGTTATATAAATTCTCATGACACTTTGATGTTTATTCAAGATCTATGTCGACACATTGCGCATGGACGCACCCGAGGTGCAGTGTGGGACCTTCCAGGCTGCGGCTAATGCGAGAGTGCCATAGGTTTTGACACCAAAAAAACACTGCACTCGGTCACTACCAGTAGGTGTGTGCAAAATCTTTTCTTCGTGACGAGCTCGTGACTCGGTGTGTGGACATCGGACGAGTGACTCGGCAGGATCCAGGGGACCGTTTAGGCCTGGCTCACTTTCATGAGCACATGCTGTTTCTGGGTCCGGGGCCTCGGGTGAGCGGTGAGCAGCATGGCACCGGCATCCAGCATGGGCGCGTCCGCGTCGGGTCGCGCGCGTTTGGAGCACCGCTTCGGGCAGGGGGAGTGGGCAGGGTTCCTTGGCTGAAGGTACCGAAAAGTATCCCAAGGAAGACGAGTACAGCTGAGAACTGAGTTGCATACTGGGACGCACTTGGATGCAATTAGACTGAACTAGAGGCCTTGCACGTTTGGCTGAGGCAAATTTCTCAGTGACCATGGTGGGGACAGCAACGCGCACCCCACCCTGCAAGTGAGTGTCTAAAAACAACTTTGGAGAAACTGCAATCAAGGTTCACCATGTCCGAATACACCACCTACTATTTCAAGGCCAGAGCAATCAAGAGCTCACGCGTGACTAGCAACTTGCCTGGCCAGGTGGCCTCCTCGTATTTGGAAGGAGCCCTCGATCGGTTTGCAGAGTGGCTTGGCCTTGGCTGCTGAAAATCATGCTTGTTTTCTATTTGGGGATCATTGACATTGAGGTCTTCTGTAGCATCATGCAGCTGAGGTTCTTTATTAGCCCTACGTTTGATCCGTCTGGCATCGAGCGGGAGATGAAGGCTTTGGGCCTTGACTGTGTCCGATGCGATGAGTGGGCCAAATAGGGTGGCTCCTTCAGACACCTGAACCGTCAGAAATCAGAAGTCACAGGAACCGTCGGCAGGTGTACATTCACCACATCCGTCCGAAACCACGTGTTCTCTTCGTGGCGGGTGAAGCAAAGGCCGTGGACTCGGAGAGCACCAACTACTCCACGGATGATGGCTGGCGCTTGCTTCAAGTCCTCAAGGCCAGGCCCAAGAGATGAGAAGGGAACCAACAGAGTCATCCGTGATCCCGGCACTGCCTGCGCTCAGCTGGGCAGTATCATTGGTGAACACAGATGCAAACAGATTCGGAGGAAAAGCCCCCGGTCAAGCCCTTGTTCGAGCGTTTTTGGAAGAGTTGCCAGGTAGCCAGCTCATTACTTTGCCACTTCAGGCCACAGCAGCTGAAGAGCATCCCTTCTTCAGCTTTGATGTTGGAAACCTTAGTACCCTTGGTGCAGATGTCAGAAGCTTAGAAATCTCAGCACTTATAGATTTCAAAGGTGGATGTCATGAATCTTTCAGCTCTGTTCAAAATGTTTGAAACCTTTGGCTAGCATTTGGCCCAACATTCCCAGGATTTACCCGGCACGCGAGAAAAGCTGATTGCCGCGGCCCAAGGCGGAGCAAACCGATCGGCGCAGACAGCGATCGGATGCTGAACGATAGGGAAGCATTTTGGGGCTCAGGCAGAAAAACCGAAGGCTTTCTGGCAGTGAGGGCTGACCGTTGCGCCGATATGAGAAGGAGTTGTTCACCCTATTTGAGCTGTCACTGCCACTTGGGGCTCAAGCTAGTGAGCAGTAGTGGGCCAACATGGCAGGTACTGTCGTGCTGGTGACAGGCACACGGCGGCGCACAGCGGCGCACAGCGGCGCACAGCGGCGCACAGCGGCGCACACATGCACAACGAAGATATGAAGTCAAAAAATAGAGCATGGCATTGCATCGAGTCTACCATTCACTAGGTGGACCCGCCTCTTGTGGGGTAGCGGAATTATATGCTGAAGCGGTTTAGTCGGGGCGCTGTACATACAATAAAAAAAGAACCGCAAAAGCTTTGAAGCAGAATCCAATCAACTACCACTTGGACTCAGACGATCCCGGAAGGAACGTTTATTGCATGGGCACCGTCAACTAGCAAAGAGGGCACCTTGCTGTAACAACAGGTTTAAGGAGATGTCCATTGTCACCAATCTTTTGCTGGCTGGATGAAACCCTTGTACTTTTGGCCTTGCCTTGATTCAAATGAAGCGGCGCTAGGTGGTAGTGGCCTTGTGGGCAAGGCCATCCACAAGGTAGTGAATGAGGACACTCTGCAAAGCTTTTCTTTTTGTAGAAAACTGGCGTCGTTCTTTTCCATCATGCCTCTTAGCGGCCTTAGCACTTTTGCAGTTGGTCACTGCTTGCCCCCTCCTATTTCAACCTCTAGATTTTCTTGGCCCCCCCAGAGAAGCTTGAAATCTAAGTTAAGGAGCTCCACTGAGCCACGCACTGCTGCATTTTGAAGTGTCTTCGGGTGTAACCGTGGTTTGGCACCATCATGCTTAGATGCCCCTTCTTGGAAGGACGACACCTCTAAAGACGAGACATGGGTCTTCCTTTCATCCAAAGATGGTGATTTGGTGGACCGGAAAGCAACCGAAGCAATCTTCGAGAAGCACAAGCCTACGCCGCATGGCTTGTGTGGAAGTAGCCCCTCCAGCACCAAAAGACAGTCACATTCCTTTCTTGTTTAAAGACTCAATGACCTCCTTGGTGAAAAGGTGTTCTATGTGGCATGACCACCAGGGGCAATGCATCATTTTGCATGGGGTTGCCATCCAAGGACGACCACACTCAACCAAGGGATTAGTTTAATCTCTACTCAACCGCGGGATGTTTGTGGCCGCTTGATTAGATTCTTGAATTGTGGCCCTTGATGTTTCGAGCCATGCACACCTGAGTGACTTGCCAAGGCATGTCATTCATCTTGCAGCCAGTGCCGCATCTGCAATTCCAGTGACCGGTGAGAGCGAGGCAAACATAGTATTCACACTATTTTGGTGGCTCCAGGTGCTGTAGGATTCTTACATCAACAGTAGTGTTCCTTTCTTTGAGGACATTGACGTTAATCCCAACTTTGAGCTGTGGCAATCTTTGTGCAGTGAGGAGTTGGTGGCCTCTTTCACAACATGGCCAAGAAGGTGGAGTTCTTCCGGGAGAACATGCTGATCAATGACAACGTCATGGAGTGCTGCCGAATCTATCAAGTCAAGAAGTTAGTTTCTTGCCTCTCCACCTGCATCTTTCCCGATAAGACCACCTATCCCATTGACGAGACCATGCTGCACAACGGAGCTCCTCATAGCTCCAACCTGGGCTACTCCATCGCCAAGCGCCTCGTGGACTCGATGAACCACTGCTACCATGACCTTGGACTAAACAGAAACGACGACACCAAACGCAGAACATTGAACAGATTCAGATGGAGCTCAGCAGATTCATGTTCCCAAGAGGGATGACAGCAAATTACAGAGTCTGTGCATCGAAACTTCTGACAGTTTGTTGTGATCTAAGCTTAGAAGCCTGCTGGTTCCCACCACCGAGTCCGAGTGTAAACCAAATGCCGTGTCAGAGGCCCCCGCAAATCTAACCACGGCCTATCATCAAATGCAAGGACCCAGGCAAACACACAACTCCTCGCACATAATATGTGAGCAAAGGGAGGCAACATTATAGCTGTGCGGCTGCATCCTGGAATCATGCAACTCAACTCGTGGGCAGTGATTGCAGTGGACTCAGACTCAGACAGACCCTTTCTTGACGCTTCAGCTCAGGAGCAGTATGGGTGTCAGTTTACATCGTTGATCCCGACCAATGTGTATGGTCCGCACGACAACTTCAATGTTCAAGATGGCCACGTAATACCTGGCCTCATTCACAAATGCTATTTGGCCTCTTGGCTTGGCTAGTCTCGACTTGGTTGCGACCGATGACCGCTAGTCTCGACTTCAAGACATGGCACCCCTAAGGCGAAGCAAAAGGGTGAAGACATGGTCCTTTGGGGTTCAGGCACCCCAATGAGGCTGGTGCGGCTTTCTTCCTTGAATGAATCGTATTGCATGTTTGGAATGATGATCATATTGGCCATGTGCTTGGACATGACATTTCGCTTTGCTGCCCAACATTTTAGAGGGTTTTCTCACAATGTTAGGGCGGAGTGCGCTCGCACCGAATGTTGCGAGTGTGAGCACCGAGGGAATGGGCTATTAAAAAGTTCAATGTTCTTCTTGATGTAGGCAAATCTAGGCTTCTAAGGAGACTATTTGGACGCAATTGCTCGTGAAAACACATAAATCATGCTTTCACCGTGGCTTAGCTAAGCCCGGACAGAGAGTGAGAGAAGAGACAGAGAGAGAGACAGAGAGACAGGACAGGACAGGACAGGACAGGACAGGACAGGACAGGACAGGA